ACTACACATGGGCCCAGTAAGGAATTTCTGATGGACGTGTTCCTGCAAGGCCACGTGTGTATTGTTTTTTCAGAGAAAATACTGATAAAAATAGTAAAATATGTTGGAGCTGGTGCTGTTACCTGCCATCAAAAACATTCATCTCTCCTGCTTCCTTTTTTCTTGCACCTGCCTCAAAACAGACTGTAACATGACAAAAAAAGGCACCAATATGCCACATGCAGCTTAGACAAACCGAAACACAGACCCAGCACAAGTTGGAGGAAAGTGCCAACAACAGCTGTGAGTTTCACATAAAACAGAACAAATAAATCGGCAAGTAGTAAAAATAAAATGGGGCAGAAATATTCTTAAATGGCATCGGCATTCGGACAAACAGGCTTTCAGGGCTTCAACTGTGCATTTAATTCACATTTGAATCAGCTTAATTAAACTAATGTCAAACGCAGGCCAAGGATAACACTTTATTCCGTCCTGTCGTTTCCCAAATACTTTTCGATGCCAGCTTCACAGCATGCAAGTGCGCTGGCAAGAATGACTCAGTTTGCTCTTCATATTGAGGCAGAATTGAATCGACTCGTACCAACCGAAGACTCAAATTCTACTCACAAGGGGCAACTCAAGACAGCATCAATTAACAGCTCTTCTAGAAAAGAGCTGCTTGGCTCACATGGAACTGGGGCTCGAACCGCAATAAGAGGTATTCACACTTGTGAAACAGCTCCATAATTACGTCCCCCTACACATGTACTGTATTTTGGTATTATGTTTACTATGCAAATAGCATTTGTGCAATAAGTATTTATATATTTTATGAAGGGTTTTAAATCTCTTGTCTTTGCATGTAGTATATTTTAATCCACTCTAATACATTCTGCGTTTAATCTCCTAGTTTCATTAACCACCATGTCTGTGGAATTTAAACAAATTCCATAAAATGCACTTTTTATTATTTTCTTGGTTTTCACTTTCTAATTGCATGTTCATCACAGGAACACTGCCGCCCCTGCACTGCTCATTATTTAGGTCTTAAAATAAAATCTGCTGGGCATCAGGAAATTGTACTTTATTGCAGAAATCATTTCACGTGTTGCAGAACAGATTAAAGAAAATTTAATCTGGATATTAAGAACATTATATGTCAAAGTTAAGGGTCAATCTTGGTACAGCCTGATCAAAATCCATAAAATTAGAAATGGATTTGATGATGCAGAGTGACTGTGGGTCCCTGAAACGCTGACAGTTTTTAATCAACTTCTATCTTTACGACTGTAAGTACAACAATTCCTTCTTCTGGGAAATTTTAATTATTTTGTGAGTTCATAATATTTTGTATTCATATAATACAATAAGCAGATTTTCTCAAGAAGGAAATATTTTGAAAACATCAGCAGAGTGGATGGCTTTAAAATTATTTTAGTTCCATTCTACAAAAAAGGGTAAAAGATTCAATTTTGTGGACCCTCATCTTAATGAATATTTATGGTGTTAAATCAGAAACATGCTTTGTAACAATGTAAATGATTCCAGCTCCACATCAAACTGTGAGAAAAGGAAACAAGAATACCTGATATGGGAAATTAACTCAAAAGCATTTTTTTCTTAAAAAGGGAATTTCACACATACAATACTACTCTAACAGGGTTTTATGACATTTTGATGGAAGGAATGATAACAGATCTTTTATCATTTTATGATTTTCAGTAATAATATTGCTCCTACAGGCATTTACATTTATTACAGTGAGGAAAAAGCTGAACATTCACCTAGCTTTCATATTAAAAACAAAAAAAAAAATTCTGTAGCAATTCACCTTTCCGGAGAAGGTTCTCTAGTGTCATTTGTCCATATTCCAGAAACCAAGCTCGCTTGTTTATATATTTATTTCTTTAGCGCAAGTACAAAGAATGGTAATAATCATTAGGGCTCCCATTCGTACTAATTTCGTGGGAGGTTAGAATGGAGACAGGGAGGAGTAACATGCTTAAGGAAACACTGACACCTATTGGAAATCTTTAAAAATGTTATACACTACATTGAGTTATTTTTATTTCAGATGAACAGATCTGCAAATGACCCTCAGATCACACACACGTATATATAAACACTATATAACCTATACATAACTGGTACTTTCACGGTTATGTCAATGAACATCAATCTACTTCAAAGGTCGGCAACACAAACAATATTGTAAAGCTAAAGAAACAGCAAAACAGAACTAAATACAATTACAGAGCAGTCTAGATTTGTAACTCGGAATTAAATGTATTTTTCAGCAATTACGACAGCAAAAGAACTATCGGTTTCTTAATGACATCCCATGAACTGCATTTTTGACATTTGAAAATCTAGAAATATAAATAATTAAAAGACTAGACTAAAAATGGTTTTGTGCGATAGAAGAAAATAGCCTCCGTTCAGTGCTGTGCTGTTCTTTTATTTTTTGACTCAACTTCTGTGTGAGAGAAACACAACTGCCTGCTCCACACACGTGAAAGGATTCGTGCGGTTTTCATTAACGGCGAGTCTCCTCATCGGAGTTTATTTTTTTATTACAACAATTTTAAACTACAACATGCAGCCGGGTACAGTATATGACGAGCAAGAGCGACTTCGGAAGGAAAAACAAAAAACAAAAAAAGAGTTCACTTCAGGGTAAATGGCACATTATGCACAAACGACCAACAATTATAAACGTGGATATATCCACTAATTAAGCATTTCTATATGAGGAAAAGTCTATCTTTTGTTTATTACAACGTGATCACTCAGCAGCAGGAGTTAGTACCAAGTTAACACTCTCTAAATGTTCTGTTAACGGCAGAATTTAAAGAAAAATCCGAAGTGTTTACCCCAAACAAAAACAAAAAAAAATAACGTACTTATCAAAGAACGCAAGGGAGAACTCATGGGATTTTAGTCAAACCCCTGAAAATCAGTTTTATAGTATGCAATAACATATTGTAGGGTGACAGTTTATATAATCCGTGTATAATTTAAGGTTTATTACTTTTTTGATTTAATAACATTTCGTATGTTGCTCAAAATAACAATGTATATTTTTAAAAATATTTTCCAGGAAAAATATTTCATTCTTTCATTTTTTCCCTGCACATGCGGCGATTATGTTATCAAGTCAACAACAAAACTAATATTAATTGTATTATTATTATTATTATTATTATTATTATTATTATTATTATTATAGCATTAGGACAAAAAAAACTATCAGAACATATATTTGTTCTAATATATATTATTTTAATATATATTAAATATATAGACGTTTTTTATAATGACGTTTTATATTAATTAAAAGGGGTTTTTAAAAAAAAACAAAAACATTTTTCTCTCAAAAATTAGCAGATAATAAGGCCATCCCACAAACATCAGACAAGCTTGTGGCATTTTTCCACATCAGTTTTCACTTTAAAATGTACTTGTAGATGTCCTGCATCTATAAGATGCTATGTAAGTTTGTCTTTTTTCCTGAACACAAAAACAGATGTTATTGTAACAGATACTTAAAGCTCAGACAAAATAGTTACAAATTCAAGGTTGCAAAGAACGTTCCCATGGACAGAAGATTAAAATTGATTTAGAAAATGTAAGCTTTATAAAAAAAACATAAAAAAATTATATTAACTAAAACATCCTTATATTTAATATTTACTATAATGCAATGTAACAAATCTTTGTTTTGATGAAAAATAGTTGGGTATGTGTTTTATGTTTTTAAAATTTAAAAACCATCCATATATTCTCAGCATAAAAACGACCTCTAATGGTTCAACATACGCAGAATAATATGCACAGAATAAAACAATTGTATTCCAAAAATCATTATAATATAAAATGTTATTCCAATGTATGAAGGGTGCAATAAATGGGTTGTTGCACTACCTATTAAAAGAGAAATGGGGGGGGGAATTAAAAATTGCCAAGTTTTTCGTCTAATAAATTATGTGCATTTAAAATACACATTTGTGCTAGAAACATAGCTTAAATATTATGGTTATCCTCTTCCTTTCTCATGCAATATTCATCATTTACTCACAATGTATTACAGCACATAAACAGCATTAAAAGCCTCACCATAATAAAAAAGGCAAAACATTTGTATGTGAAGCATTTTAAATGATGTGAATTGTATTAGGAAAATAAATTGGAATGGAGAGCAACACGGAAAATGTCATAAAGTTAATATTTCGCTAACGGTACATTGAAACCATGCTCGCAAAACCTATTCTTACATGCCTGAGAATGGATGAGGCCGCTTAGATGAGATACATTTTAAGATGCAGGTTGGGGTTCACTTCAGCAGGCAAGATCATCTTCTTTTTAATGCAGTGACTTCAGCAGATCATTGCTCTAAATGAGCATTGCAAAACCAATGGAGCCTTCGCTTCCAAATTACATTTCTTGATGATCGTTCTCCTTATATTTTTCTTGCATGTCATTCATTCTAATGTAAATCTTTCCTGTTCTTTTCCAGTAGAACACAGTGATGAAGTAATCTCTGCTTTTTGCATGATTAAAGATGATGGATAAGCTTGGGTGGATAAAAATCGAGCCTGCTAACGGTAAATCTGTACACCTTAAATGTCAGAATGCTTCCAGCATGTTCATTGCTAATGACAGGGAGAATTAACGTCTGCAGATTAGTCTAAGGTGAATAACAAGGCGTCTTTTAAAGACCTGATCGTCCTCTGTATATTACAGCACTTTAGATATTGTCTCAGTCTGTTAGCACAAGGCACCTGCTTCAGTACAACCTGGATTATTTTACAAAGAAAGAATTATGCAGCACAACGATCTTATCCACAGTGTCAGAAATGGCAAAAAGTTCTCATGATGAAATTAAAAAAAAAGATAATGCACACAATTTTGGGTGGTGATAATAATAAATACACAAAACAGTAACGTGCACCGATCAATAAAGCATGATTATGCGATTGAATAGTGAAAAGATATAGTAAAGGCTTGTGAATATTTACCAGAGTGTTTCCTTCCTTTCAACCGCCCTACTCACTGTGTGTGTGTGTGCATCCTTTTGGACTCAGACAAGCAAACTAGAAAGGGGATATCACAGTATAGTACACACACAGCCATCGCCTCTAGACATATGACCCAAAATGATGCTCAGAAGCTACTCAATGACCTCCTGCCAACCAGCCTCTTGTGATTAATTCAGCATGTCCTTGAAACTATCTGCCAGACATCCTTGCAATTTTTCTTTAATTCCCCGAGTTTCTAAACCTTACCTAGTTTCATGCAGAAAGTCTGGAAGTCATTAATACATTGTGCAAAACAGAGAGAGCAAATTTGTGAATTGAAGGATTCTGCCTGAAAAAAAAAACACTATATAAGCTGTTTGTATGTAGAGTGCAAAGCAGCCATCACAAACCCAACTATATATATTTTTTTGACCAAGTGTTCTTAGACTACTGTACTGCTACGGCATGGCAATTTCTATTTTCTGACAGATGGAATTACTATTCATCTACTTTCTTTTCTGATTATGTGCTGGACAGCAAAATTTGGGCCGCAAAATGCTAATTTCTAGCCTGACACCATGACAGCAATCCCAGCCGTCACAAGGACAGAATGAAGAGAGCAATCTAACATCCAGGGATATGAATTTCTGAACAGTGGCTGGCAGACTGCTGTGAAGGCTTACAGTAATCCCATTGGACAGCTTTGGTTGATGAAGCCAGAGAGCAGGCAGCCACAAGGTAGGTAGTTCACAATTGCAGGCATCTGCCCATAATTTAAAACCATATGAGCACTGAAGTGTATTCTGCAGAACAACAAGCTGTAATTTAACTAGTGGAACAGTTATGCAGATTATTTTAACCTGGGTGCCCTTTGCACTTTTCTTTACACTGTTTGGTTTCTTTAAATTACTATTTCATCAAATGTACAAGCTTAGGAATGACATACTGTTTAACAAACATTTTAACATGTTCCTTTAGGCAAAAGCCTCAAAATCATCATGTTCTCTGTTTATGTGGAGATTTGGAAACAGGGATATAAAGGCAAATGGAGACAAAAAAACAACCAAAAAGTTGGTTGAAATAAGAACATTTAAAATTCATAATATTTCTTTCTGAAATTATGTTGCACAAGCTTTAGAAAAATCACCTACTCCAGCCACAAGAACCTGCACAATGTGTCTATGTTCTATGACAGGGAAAGAAGACACCATAATGAGTGATTCCAGTCTTGTCAGTGTCACGACATATTTTGCTTTGAGATTTTAAAATGGAATCTCAATGTGAGCAGTAATAAGAGAGATTTTAAATAGCTTTGGGACCTATTGAGTACACATCTGTGTAACCAAGTTGACCAATGCTATCAACGTCTGTTAGCCCAAGACAGACAGAGTGGATTCATCTAAAGGTCATAATAGTGAGTGTAGTTTCATGACCAAATGAACTTTGCTAATATTATTGCACCACATATGAACTATGTTAATATGTTCTATAGACACTGTTCAAAACACAACGCCACCTCCTAATAAAATGTAGTTCAAGCAGCCCATAGCAGCAAGGAATAAAGGCTGACTTTAATTTAATCTCAGTAAAAAAAAGAAACTTGTACTGGAAAACAAAACATGTTCCCAATTTTAGTCTTGTGCTGTTTTTCATGCCAGCCCTGCACTCTGGAATTTTAACACGCATATTGTAACCAAGTTCCCAATGGGACAGCAGAGTTTTATGGGATCTGTAATGTTGCTGACAGGTATTGTTTATAGGGATTATCAAAAATGAAAGAATGTCATGCTCCTGTCCTGAAAACCTGAATTCACTAGATAGGGTTTTATACAAACCCTTTGCAAAATAAAAGTGCCTTTTATTTAGATGAGCCAGTAGTTTCCAACATTCTAAAACATGAAAAATTAACATTATGATTCCAATAACATTTGCTATTTACTATAAAACATGTGTTATAAATAATTTACATAAAAAGTACTACTACCTGAATCAAACCTCACCATTCTAAATAAATGTCATTTATTTGTAGATAACTTTAGAGAAGGTGAACTATTTTACACATTTAAAATATGTGATGCATTAGATTCCTATTATCATACATGTTTACTTTCATATGTCTCTTAACTCCCTGATCAGGCAGAAGGAAGTAATTAATAACACATTTATAGGCCTTGCTCAGAATTCACAAAGGATATGGGAACTGAATTTATGTCACCGACCCAATGGACAGAGTATGGAGTTCCATATTAAGTAATCTGAAATTAATCTGAAATCTGTGCAGGATTTATGTTATGTTTCTTACTCACTCCCTGGCAGAAGGACCGTGTGGTTTCTGAATTAAATGGAATATCGGAAAATATTTTTAAAAACTGAAGCAGAAAAAAGGCATTACAGGTAATGCCCTTAAAGTTTTACAGTGCTGATAAGCAATACTGGTAACTTTAACAGTAGAGCACCAAAGACAAAGAAGGGAATCAGACAGGTAAGGAAAGAAACACCAGGAAAAAATATTGGAAGAGATATCTACAGCATGAGTGTCCAGTCATGTGGATACAGTATTTTTTGCCTTGGATAAAAAAGTCATTATAGCAAGCAGGCATAAATTTCATCTGGGAAAGGGGCACACAAAGGCCTGAACTAAGATTTCAATCTCAGGCACTAAACATATAAGTAGGGCTCACTGAGACACAGAGGAGATGATTTACAGTACTGAAGAAAACACAAATCTAGATCTTCACGGTACCGAGAAGGAACTGTTGTTAAAGAAGGTTAAGAAAATGAAATTACAGAAGTGAGGTTGTCAGGACAAGATTGCGAAAAATGCATTAGTCTGATGAAAAAGAGACTGATCAGAATCCGGAGGTGAACACTTGTAAAAAGTCAGAAATGGCTTCGATGTAATGAGGCCATCTAAGCCTCCGAATGAAATTGTATGGAGCTGTGTAATGTGAGCTGCCTGAGCACTCACAGAGAAGGAGCCCATCTTCGTGTAGCAGTGGTCCTTTGGACAGCGTGATGGACCATTTCACTTTTCCCTCTTCCAGACCAAGGACTTGGAGCGGGGGGGATGGTTGTTGCACGCGCCAGGGTTAGAGGAACTTCGTGACAACAAATGTCAACGACATACTGACAAAAAACCCGGAGCTGCATGGTCGCATGACACCCTTCTTTCAGGAAGCCCGAAATGCAGCAAGCAGGTCCTTCTGAAACTGTTGTGGAGACTGTCGATGTGTTATTAGACGTCCCAAAGACCACTTAACTTTCTCTAGTTGGGTGGGAAAAGGAAGTTGGTGGGTGTGTTGAGGACATCAGCTCACTGTGCTGAGGTACAGCAAGCCCTGTCAGGCTCGGTTCTTCCGGGTTGAAAATCTGTACATAATTTCACTTGGAGGAGATGGAGATGGGTTAAATTCCTCCCTGAGATTTTCTTTTTTCTTTTTCTTCTATCATGCAAGTTTAAAGTCACAAAAATGTTTTTGCCAACTAACAGTTAATATTTCAAACAGCCGAACGGTTCTTCACATTAATCAGGTTTATATTCAATAGTTTCTGTTCTGAAATGCACATGCTTCTCACAAGAATAAACCAGTACTTGATATCACATCTTGTTTTCTCGACAGATCTGGCTGCCTTAGCTATGACAGTAGTTTGAATAACATTAAAAATGCAGACATCAGAAGTACACTGTAGAAGGCTATTTAGGTAACGTGTTCAGCGAGCGCTGGGCTAAATTAACCTGTTACATTTTTGCAGCCATCAAATTAAAGCTAGCCCCCTGATATATCAAGTCTATCAGCTACCAAGCAGGTCTACAATCTCCCCCTGCCAGGTAGTCTATCTAACTCCTGAACACGTACCAGGGGAGTTACTTGTGATTATCTCCCTCAGACACAAGCCTCTGAATTTGGTTCAGTGAATACACAAATGCATTTTAAGCTAAGTTTCATTCTTCGTTACATCAGCTTGCTATATTTTTTAAGCTGAATATGCAACTGACGTTTTTCTTGTCACTGAAATAATACTTTACATTTCAAGGAGGGGTCAGTAAGTTGCTTCAAAGTGCGATATAAACACAGTCAGACAAAGGTTTGCACACCTTCCTATCTTTTCAATCCAAAATGATTTCATTTACATTCACAATTTTAGCACTAAAGAAACATGGATATGAGCAGCAGTGTATGAAAATTCTGCTCTGCTCCTGGAGTTTTTGGTTATGCTGAGAACTGTGTACAAGAATGGAATCTGAAATTCTGAGATAAAAAAATATTATAACACTTTTTTATGAAACAAAAAATCACTTTCTAAAATAATAAATAGCATGAAAAATCAAAGGAAAATTTTTAGTTGTGCATGATTATCTTCTTGTTCAAGAAGTTAATTAATTAACATTAATTAATATTAAACCAATCTCAAACACTTGAATACTAAAGGTGCAGAAAAGAATGTTTAAAATAGTACCTAAATATTTGCATTTCTGAAGTTATTTTAATATCAGTTCATAGTAAAGCATTTTGAAAGGGAAGAGGAGATCACATACATTTATTTATATCTGAAAATGTGTATAGAGCCTCAGAAATAAAACACCACATATTGTGCTACTCAGTTCTAACCACTGGCATCTACTGCAATATGCACATAAGCCCTGGAAACAGCCTGCCTTGAAGAAACAATGAGAGCAGATGTGAGCTGCCGGTGTTTTGACAGCTTCCAAGCAAGTTAGCTTTTCCTGGAATACTATAGTAAATCTCCTATTTTCATAGCAAAAAAGAAGGTAAAATAATTATTTGAGTCTTCACTAATATGAAAGCCAGTATGCACCAGCCAAGGTGTTAGAAATACTGTGGTAAAGCAGTTAGGGTAACATGGAATACTGTAGGTATTAGTTGTAAAGAATGTGTAAGAATTATGTACCTTCAATAGCGATAACTTACAGTACCTCTGGTAGTGACTTTTTGTGAAAAACTGCTGTACTGTACTGGTGGTATAACTGTCATAGTACTACTGCTGAGATTAGCATATAACACAGTGCTAGGAAAAAGTTTGTAAA